CCGGCTTTTTTGGTTCCCGAGCGAGCATTTTCCCGCCAAAACCTTCACAGGACCGTACGTGACCTGAGTCTAAGCAAACCTGAGTCTGGACTAGGAATCTTTAAGTTGTAGGTGGGTTCTGAACATCGCCCTAAAATTTCAACTTCCTAGCTTTCCTACTTTCCCAGTTAGCCATTTTCCTGCCAGAAAATCCCACAGGGCCATACGTGAAAGGCATTCACGACTGGGGGCTGATAAGTTTTTAGGGGACTGATAAGTTTATAAGTTTAATTTGATAAGTTTATGTTATAATTATGCTGTGAACATCACCTGAAAATTTCAGCTTCCCAGCTTTCCTAGTTCTCGAATTAGCCATTTTCGCGCCAGGAACTCTACGGGACCATAAGCGGGTACTACGCATACCTGGGGGCTGAATTTGAAATCTGTAAGTTATATGCGGACGGGGAACATAACCTCAAAATTTCAGCTTCCTGTCTTTGCTCATTCACGAGTTAGCAGTTATCCCGCCAAAACTTTCGCCCTCTCGTATGCGGTGCTCAGAGATGCGTGAAGGTTGGTGCCGCTGTCTAGGAGTGGCACTTGGCCGGGAACCTACCAGCGCTTTGGTGCTAGAGCTTGTTTGGTGGTTGCTGAGTTGAAATACCGGACAGACGAGCACACACATACACACACATACATACACACACAGGGTCGTCGCAATATGCGTTTTTGCAATTTGCATATAAACAAAAACGCATGAAAACTGTTATGTCAGAACATCTAATTCTGACCAAATTCATCAGGTATTAGCACTGTTTCAGTAGCTACAATATCAGAAAACTTATTTCCGGCCTGGAGAAATGAAAACTTCATCTCGGTCTATGCGATATTATTTCCCGGAATGACTGGATTGATGGCTGGCTCAATGTTCATTAATGAGCTCAGAGTAAGTAGCACAACATCATTCCCGTACAACTAGTTGCCATTTACCGCTGAAGGAAGTAACTCTGACAACTTTGTTTTGACAATTGCAGGACCAGGCTCGGGACGTGCCGTTGGGAATGTTCACAGCAGTTGGTGTCTGCGTGCTTTACAATTTGATCGCTGTGTTTATATCGGCGTCCACGGTGCTTCGGGATGTGTCCGGCTATTCGATGCCCACCTTCAACAACATCACGCATCGCTGGGAACCGTTTGCTTGCGCGCATAACCATACGTGTAGTTACGGCTTGATGAATTTCTTTCAAGTAAATACAGCATTGCTTTTGAATTAATTTATTGCTGTTATCGCCTCAGACATTTTGTCATTTACGCATATAACCAGGCTGAAACGCACCAGGCGAGCCGGTATGATCATGCGTTTTTGCACAAT